ATATTTCTATAAAACGTCATGTTGTTGATCCAGCATCTCCACCAATCAGTTCTCAGATCAGGTGAGTGCCAGGCGTTTCCCTTCATCCCTTGATCTCTGGAAGTCGGTGGAGAACAACTGCAGGCCCATAAACCACACAAGGTTAAAAAGGAAATTATGTTTACCTCTTACAGAGGGAGGGCTCAATGTTCTAGATTTTTCTTCATTTAACCATATTACAAAAATTAATTGGATCAAAAGATTTCTAAAAAAAAATTCCAGATAGCATGTGGAATACCATCCCAAATTTCCTGTTTAAAAAGGTTGGTGGTCTTAATTTCTTATTAATGTATCATGATTCTGTCCCGCCTGTTTCCGTTCTCGTGCTTTTATTTTGACATTATGTCCTGTTTCTGTTTCATCTCAGTTTCGGACTACTTTTTACTTTAATCAGTACTCATTGTTTTCACCTGTTTTCACCCTGATATAAGCAGCTTTCCCTCTACCATAAAGCTGCCAGATTGTTCCCTAACCCATGTCAGACTTTCCAACGGGTTCCACACACCAATTCCTGACATAATGTGTTCCTTCGCTGTGGGTAACCTCCCAGTCAAACTCTCCAACTTCCATAAATCAGCCCTTATGAGCTGGTCTCTATTGTATAAGCACAACTACTCTCCTCATAAATATTTTTTATGGAATAATGCCATTAACACTTACAACAATGAATCCTTGTTCTTTGAAAACTGGACATACCAGACTCTTGATAGAAGAACATATTTTTTCTTTGCCCTACATATTTGTCTTGTCCAACAAAGCTAAAGAACCTTCTTTTAAAATCTTACATAAATTTTACCCATTAAACTCCATTATTTGTAAATACATTCCAAATATAGAAGAAAAATGCTCCTTTTGCAACAATGAGCTAGAAAGTCTACAGCATCTTTTTTTTTCTTTCTTCAATGTGCACATGTGACAGTATTTTGGACTGACTTTTGTTTTGATCTAAAAAATTATCTTGGTAAGGAAATTGTACTTAAAGAATATGATATATTATTAATTTTTGACAAGCCCTGTTTCTCTAGCAATGAAAAATGTATTAATCTGTTCATTATTTTGGCCAAATTCTTCATCCATAAAATGAAAATTTTCATTACTCAACTGTTACAACATAAAATACTGTAGCATTTGTTTTCTCTTTGTTCACAACAATTCACTGCAGTCAGCAGAATGAGCAGCGTAAGGGTGTAGGTGAACAGGAGCCCAGGTCAGTTGATCGCAGGGAGAAGGAAGATATTGCATTTATTTAAGTTTGTGTTTTGCTTATTAAGTAGTAGCACATTTGTTGTGTGTGTTGAGCATGGTTGTCTCAGTAAAACACAGCCTGGCCTCTGCTTTGCACTGTCTGTGAGCTTACATCCCTTCCACTCTGCCTTGATGGACCAGAGAACCAGAGCTTACAGTCAGCTTTACTTTTGTCATTGTCATTTATCTGAAAACACCCCCAAACTGCTGAAATTCAGCTCCTACACCTGATCAACCAATGTGGGCTTAACGTAGTGTCGCTATAAAATGGTACTAATGCTTATCAGATAACTTTAATGAGTACGAGTATTGGACCTGATACTGGTGTCTGTGCGTCCCTATTGAGGAGGTAGGAGAGGTCAGACCAAGCTGTCTCAATCCCCGTTAACTGCCAGTCACGGAGGCACATTTGAGTGGATGATTTTAGAGCAACACAGTTTTTGTCAGATCTGCCCAGCGAAGGTCAGTGAAACCACTGTCGAGGGGAAGAAAGAATTTTACATTGCCATCTGTCTTGAGCAGATCTGTAGGTGGGCGGGGCCAACCACCTTCTAAGTAACGCTGGTCTTCTTCACTGCTGAGGGCAGTTGTAAGCTAGAGAAACTAAGCTGTTGTTAAAGATGGTACTGTGTTGCTGGTCTTGTGACTTGTAAAAAAGAAAACCAGCACAGAAGACCACCCCTCCACTGGGTGAGCAGGCTGTGTCTGTCTGCAGCCAGCTTGAAGAACACCCTCTCCAGGATTAACCCACGCAAGGCAGCTGGACTGAATAACATACCTGGTCGTGTTTTAAAGGACTGTGCCGAGGAGCTCAAGGGTGTCCTCACGGATATCTTTAACATCTCTCTGAGCCAAGCATTTGTTCCCACGTGTTTCAAGGCCGCCACAATAATTCCAATTCCAAAGAAGCCCCACCCAACCAGTTACAATGACTATCAGCCTGTAGCACTGACTTCAATTATTATGAAGCGCTTCAAGTAGCTGGTCATGCAGAATGTCAAGTCCATCCTTTCTCCCTCTCACGACCCATTTCAGTTTGCATACAGGTCAAACAGATCCACAGAGGATGCCATTACTACTGTTCTCCATCCAGCCCTCACCCACTTAGATTCAAAGAACTCTTATGACAACCCAGAGTTGTCATAAATGGATGCAGGGTCGCAGTCTTACACGCCTCTCTGCTGTCTCCTTGCAGCTGCTACCCACCCAACGCTCCCAGTACCCCATAGAGACTGTGTCTGCCCCCCGCCCACCTAAATTATATAAATCAAGAATCAACTCCAGAGGAGTTATTCATAAGAACCTAATTAAAATTAAGATGACTCCTCTTATAGTAGAAAGTAATAGGACAATCAAATGTGGACTATTAAATATCAGATCTCTCTCATCTAAATCTCTGTTAGTGAATGATTTGATAAGTGAACATCACATTGACTTATTGTGTCTTACTGAAACATGGTTACAGCAGGAAGAATATGTCAGCCTAAATGAATCCACTCCACCTAGGCACAGTAACTGTCACATCCCTCAAAACACAGGCCGAGATGGTGGTGTGGCAGCAATCTTTGACTCAAGCCTATTAACCAACCCTAGACCTAAACATAGTTATAACTCATTTGAAAGTCTCACCCTGAGTCTCTCACACCCAAACTGGAAAACTCAAAAGCCTGTTCTGTTTGTGATTGTATACCGTCTACCTGCTCCTTATTCAGAGTTTTTAAGTGAATTCTCAAACTTTCTGTCTGATTTAGTGCTTAGTACAGATAAAATAATCATAGTAGGCGACTTTAATATTCATGTAGATGCCGACAATGACAGCATCAACAATGCATTCTGTTCATTATTAGACTCAGTTGGCTTCTCTCAAACTAAATAAACCCACTCACTGTTTTAATCACACTCTTGATCTTGTTCTGACATATGGCATCAAAACTGAACACTTAATAGTTTTTCCCCATAACCCTCTTCTGTCTGACCATTTTCTAATAACTTTTGAATTTACATTAATGGATTATACTCTATGTGGGAAACAATTCCACTACAGCAGATGTCTATCTGGCAATGCTGTTACCAAGTTTAAGGAAATAATTCCATCTTTATCTACTTCAGTGCCGTTTGCCAACACAGTGGAAGGAGGCCACCTTAACTTTACTCCAACACAAATCGATAATCTTGTTGATAGTACTGCAGCCTTCCTGCGTAATACACTTATACCATTGCCCCTCTGAAAAGGAAGGCAGTGAAACAGAG